CACCTCACACACCAGGTGAAATTGCACATATCCCAGGCCTGGACACATCTAAGTTACATTTTGTTCAGTCAGGTCCATACATGTGCCAGCATGTCCCAACTGACAAACGACAAGTATCTTCACACACCACCAAAACAGAACAAGACAACCAAAGCACACACCAGGTGGAAAGGCTTGTGAAAATGCACACATCCATGGCCTGCACACACCTAAGTCACTTTTTGTTCTGGGAGCCAGGTCCATATATGTTCCACTATGATGCAGGATACAAAGGACAAACAGCCTCACACACCCCAGAACACAACCAACCCAGCACAGAAAGGTGCACTTAGATGTAACCAAGCCCAACTTCACACATCACACACCAAGTGAAATTGCACATATCCCAGGCCTGGACACACCTAAGTTACATTATGCTTTCTACATTCAGCTGAGGAGTCACTTGGCGAAAAGAAAATGATTTCCAAGAAAGAAATCAAGGAAAAGGCAGAGGAGATGCAGAAAGAGCTGGAGTCACGGGGGTTGACGCACAACGACAAGCTTCAGAAGCTGCACGCTTTCTGGCGCAATGGGGGGGCCTGTAAAATGTACAACGATACAATATTGTACAATCAAAGTTACACAAGGGGGGGGGCCTGTAAAATGTAACCGTCAGCCTCGCAGAGTCCAAGTTACAATTTCCAAAACCCCCTCAATCATTTTGTCTTTTGCTGACAGTATGGCGCAGTCACATCTGCAGGGGGGGGGCTGTAAAATGTAACATGAAGGCCTGGATAGTTCAAGTTACAATTTCCAGCCCCCCCCCTCTTTTTTTTTGGGGGGGTGCGAAAATGTAACTACAGACCTGGCAGACATCATGTTACATTTTTAGACCCCCTCCCCCCCCCCCTCATGCACCTCAATAGGGGTACCTGGGGGGTAAGTTACATTTTTCGAGGGGGGGAGGGGGTGGGGTGTGTAAGTTACATTTTTCAGACCCCCCCCCCGAAATCCATGGCTAAGGGGGTGGGGATGCTATTTTTTGACGTAAAATCCAAAAACCGTATGTTTTAAAGCGCGGTGAGTTAAATGAGTAAGCTTTGAGACTCAGGGTGTAACGAATCTGAATTGTGATTTGTGAGCCCTGCTGAGGAATTAGCGCCGTCCAAACTGCTTTTTGAATCAATATCTGTCCGATCTCCTGCCCCCTGCCGAGCAAAGCCAGCGTTGAACCATAGAGAAGTACTTAGAGAAGTGCACTGCAGCTTGCAGGAAGGATGACGTTTCGCTTCAGAAAAATGCATGGCGCCGCAGTGCAAGCAGCTATTCAACGGCGCAATCGGCCAAAAATGTCTAAGCGCGCTGTCCTAAGAGTTTGCGTACGGCGTCACGGTTGTCGTCGATGGACGTTCAAGTTGCAGGCTGTCTGGACGACGGCCGCCCAGAAGAATCCACCTTGCCTTGGCTTTCCCGCCTTCGCCGTTTGAATTTCTCCCGGATTTCCTTCAGCTTCTCCGGGTCGGTAGTGAGCTCAATGGTACCTGAGTTGACCAGGTCGCTGATCTCAATAAGGAGCTTTGCCTCTCGGAAGAGTTTCGTCTGCTGCCGTCAAGACTCTTTTCGTTCAGCCCTTTGCCTTGGTGGGGTAGTGCAAATTGAAACTCATCTGCAAAGGTGTTCAGGGCATAGAAGCAATGCAGCTGAAAGGCATTGATGTCCCAGCTGTTGGACGAGTGGGCGGACGCTTTTTACTGCCCATTCAGTCTTGGCGTCAGCTCTGCTCCTGTGAGCTGCGCGTTCACTTGGCGCTGTCAATCAGCATGGCGCTTCTCAGGTCGCGACGAATTTTCAAGTCGGCGCTGATCCAACCTGTGGTCAACACACTTCTTTCCTGAGTCCCGACATGTTAGCGATCCCGGAAGAGGTGCGTCATCAGGCCCTGTTCAAGGCCTTGAAGCAGCTGCTCAGGGATCTTGTAGCGCAAGGCGATTGTGACGGTGAAGGTCGTTGAGCATCAAGTCGTAGGGCTTACTGGCGAAGTTCCCCGGCTTGCCGCCGGAGGGGTCGATGATGTAGTGGCTCCAATTCCGCCACGCCACTTCCTTTGAGGTCGGCCGCTCATCTGCTCACAAAGTCCAGCAAGCTGGTAAAAGAAGAATTCCAAGTCAAAGAAAAACTGGGCAGCTAAAGGCCACGGGCGCAAGTCACCCTTCTTGTCTTGGTGTCAAGGATGAAGAATTCGAGGTCGATGGAAAGGGTCGGGGCGACCCCCGCCCTGGCCTTGGGTTTGATCCCGCGCCGCAGTGCCTGAATAAAGCGCTCCATACAACATGAAATGCCTAGCGTGACCTAAACATGGAGCAACAAAACGGAACATACATTAACCTGGCCATCCGGATGCCTCACTCCAACCCTTAGAATCCTTACGCAAAATTCTACGGCGCTCACTTTCCTTGCGTTCATGTTTGCAAGTTTTTCGATATGTTTCTTGCGCCCAACTTCCTGGACATTCTTCTCGAATTCACATCTCGTACGCAAGTGCGAAGGGAGGTGTTGCTGCCAGCCCCCCTCAGCCCAGTGTGACCTGTGTGTTTGTAGACCTTTCCTAGCGTCTATCTCTTGCTGACGCCTTTAGCAACTACAAATAAAGGTTGGGCGCTGGGGTGAGCGTCAACGGTCTGCATAAAAGTCTGCTTTCGCTGCCCGCTATGTCGTGATTTTGATTTTGATAAGGTTCGCCATCATGCTCTTCGTGATTGATTTTTTACATAGAGTAATAGGCTGCAGAGCCACGGTTAGCGAGCACGCTCAGCTGGTCTTCCGCTTGAGCTCGTAGCTATGCCGATTGTGAGGATCCCCCTCCGATCACCTCTCATCCAGCTCAACAGCAAAGAGTCTGACAGTCCTATTGGGAATCGCCGCTTGCTAGGCTAGTCGGGGGCTCACATCCTAGCATTTGGAACTTCTATCCCGTCGAGTCCGTGCAAGTTCAAAAGCTACCATAAAATTCCACCTCCCTTTGTGGACTTTCAGATTCCAGATTACCTTTGGTTCAAACCTCTTGGCAGGGGGACAGCGAAGATGACTTGGTGCATCATCGTGAGTCATATAGGACTTTGCTGCGGCCGGCCAGTGTTGGGATGGCCACCTCCTTTACACAATGGTTTTCTATGCAGCAGTGCGCATTGGTGCCGCCAAGGCTTGTTGGAGCCTAGCGGGAGAGACTCGATTTGTTTTGATCATCCAAAAGATGAAGAAAGTGACCTTTTGCCAATGTCCGTCAGCTACGTGAGGCGATGCGGTCGTGTCAATATCTCTGGAATCTTTTGTCCAAAGGTCTGAGCCCGCGTTGAAGCGGCATGAAAAGGCATAGGCCCACTCCCAAATAGCCGGATTCAGCAGGGCCGAGACGTGTGCGCATGTTGTTTCATATAAGACGCACTTCCAATCGAACGTCCTTTCCCCCCATCCCGCACACATCTATACATTGTTGACAATCTTGTGCAATCGACAACTATCTTCTGAAACCGATGACAACAAGAAGTGTGCCAAAACCTTACAAAACTACCGAAAATGCACTTTGCAGAGTTATAGGGAATAACAAACTGATTGCATTTTTGCCTCTGCGCAGTAAGATGTAAATGGAGGGTTGGTTTACTCTTACCGGGACCCATGTGTTGTTCGAGACTGCCATCTATGTGTTCCTGAAACTCCGGGGTGGTTTCAGCAACGCTCATCTGCATTTCTTGCATTTTTGGTAAAGGGGTTGTGGGAAACGAAATTGGCACCCAAGGTTTTTCCTCTTCGGATATATATATATATAGACCAGCCAAATAACTAACAGTCTTAGAAATTAAAAAGCGTATTTTTGCACTTTTTTCCCTGTCTCTGTGTCTATGCCCTTAACGGGACCAGGGAGCAGGCTCCACGCGGTCGCTGAGACTGGTGTGTCCCTCCCCGTGGCCCCAACGACATCGACCCTCCATGGCCACGAGGACATTTCCTGTCTTTCTTGCAATGAATAGAGATCTTCTGTAGCGTATGCCATCTACATGTTTCACATTTCTGTAGTGCGGGGGTAGATGGCATGGAAGTGGCCTAAACCACAAAAGGATGAGCTGTGTACGCCATCTGGGTGTGGCCAGGGCGGGGGGCACATTGGAAACCCATGGAAGCCCTGACTTATAGTCAGAACATGGTTTAGCGGTGATTTGTTGAAGAAAAGCTGAATATGCCATCTAGGTGTGGCCAAAGGGCGACATTGGAAACCCATAGCCTGACTTATACTATGGCGGACCAACAGTTAGAAGATGAAACCATGGATTTTTCCTTAGGTACCTAAGGACATCTTCGAGTAGTAGGGCTTTCTAGCCTAAAGGATTTTGACATGGAGTTAGAATATGAACATGCAGTTAGAATATGGAGAATGATGTTGGAAAGCATTTAAAGGTGATTGGCGCTGCACCATCAAGCTCCAGACTTCGGCGAAGCGATGCTCACATTTGTTAACGTATAGATATTCTATCTGCACCAACAACACCAGAGGTGTTATGAGAATTCATTGTTTTAGCAAAAGGTGGCTTGAAGGTCATACAGCTGAATCGTGCGATCGATTTCACTATCACAAAAACATTATCTGATGTTATCATTAATGATAACCAGTATTGATTTTCTGAGATCTCCATATTCTAACTGCAGGAAAGTCCCACAGGTGTTGCAAACATATGGTATTTATGACTTGAAACGAACAGGCTATGACTTGAAACTTATGCAGGAGGCAGCGTCAGTTTCTTGACTAGATATCAAACGCCATATTCTAACTGCATTGGCAACCATGTGTTTTCTTTATAATTGTGAAAAGCGATTGGTTCAACATATTTGACTTACTGTGAGATAAGAAACTATTGCAGAATAGAATATCAAATTGTACTGTAACTACCATGAATAGCATCAAAAAATCCATAATGTGATTTGAACCTGAGAACTAGCAATGGCCTCCCAATGGCTACTAGCAATGGCTTCTACCCTACTAGCCTCCACCCTACTAGCAATGGCCTCCACGGCCTCTACTCCACCCTACTAGCAATGGCTTCCCAATGGCTTCTAGCAATGGCTTCCACCCTACTAGCAATGGCCTCCCAATGGCTACTGGCAATGGCCTCCACCCTACTAGCAATGGCCTCCACCCTACTAGCAATGGCCACCACCCTACTAGCAATGGCCTCAACCCTACTAGCATTGGCCTCTAAATGGCCGCAGCAATGGCCTCCACCCTACTAGCAATGGCCTCTAAATGGCTACTAGCAATGGCCTCCAGCCTACTAGAAATGGTCTCCAACCTTCTGGCAATGGCCTCTAAATGGCTACTAGCAATGGCCTCCAGCCTACTAGCAATGGCCTCCAACCTTCTGGCAATTGCCTCTAAATGGCTACTAGCAATGGTCTCCAGCCTACTAGCAATGGCCTCCAACCTACTAGCAATGGTCTCTATATGGCTACTACATGTCATATATATATATTTACAGTATATATCCTCCATATTCTATCTCTCACCCTGGGATTTCAATATTCTATCTGCTTGTTGGGGCCTTAGTATTCTAACTGTACCCTAGCATTTTTTAGATTCTATCTGTCTGTCCATCACAGTACAGTAGTCAGAAAATGGTCTTGCGGTGTTTTTCTGAAGAAAAGCTGAATATGCCATCTAGGTGTGGCCAGGGGGAAACATTGGACACCCCAACTATATTATATATATATATATGTGTATAACTTATAGCTGGAACATGGTTTAGCGGCGTTTTCTTAAAGAAAACATGCTTCCCGTTGGACACCAAATGCCATCAACACATGCACAATTCTTACAAAACGACATCCAAAGATCCAAACGGATCAAGCGACATTTGCTGACATTTCTTGCATTTTCTTGCAGTGCTTTTGAGCTCTATTTGCAGTTTAATTCTGCCGTCTACATGTTCTACATTTCTGTAGTGCTGGGATAGATGGCATGGAAGTGGCCGGGCGTAAACCACAATCGGATGGCATATCATAGGCTTCCTTCTCATGCCATTGGATTGTTATCCCCTATAACGCTCTCCCCATTGCCATTGGCCGTGCGGGTGCTACGAAATGCTGTAGATACAACCGATTAACCGAAAAATGCAATGTTTCCCTCGCGTCGCTAACGACGACGTTAGCGAAAACATGGAAGGTGCATTCTTCGCGGTGTCCCCAGGTCCGAACACTCCTCCAAAAAAAATAACATCGCTGTCCTTGGGACTGTACAGCTTGCATTCCCAGCATAACCTTAAGTTGAGTTCGAGTGAGGTGTTGTTTTCTTACTTGTGACTGGTTTGCCGACAAACATCTCTTTCACTCACCTGATGCAAAGAACTGCTGGGAGGGTGCGGGGCAGAATTTGCCGCGGGGCGGCATGAATACATTCCAGATTCTCCTCTGCAACCCCATTACATTATATAGTCATATAGTTATATACTTGTATAATATCAACAATGGTCCATTGATTGGAGCAGCAGGTCTTCCCTTTGACAACTTAAACCATTGATGACCGACAGAAAGAGTCGACGTGCCTTCTCAAGTGCGTTTTGAATGAGATCATCTCTGCTACCTTATTATATAGCGCATCCACATTGGATACAACTGGGCGCAGCAGAATGTAAATCACAGAAATTGAGGCCAAGCTCTTCTAAAGTGCTTTATAGTGCTTTATATATATATATATATATGACCAGTAACTTTAGTAGTAGGATCCCGGCCAACTAGAAGCGATGCAAGTTCAGCGTCACTGCTGAGTAGACCATGTGTGCGAATCTGCATGTGAGCGATTGACAAACTCTATGGTTGGCAGGCCCCTATCGGCTACACTCTAGACTCCAAAATGGGGGTATTGGCAATTGGGTCAGCCAGTCAAGGTTGTGAGACTTTGAGTCCTAAGATTTTGTCCGATTCTCATGTGAGTTGGGTGGCACTAGAGTGTGCCGGACAAACAGCACCTCAAACATCCTCAAAGCCTCAAAAAATGACTCGAATCCACTGCTTCATACCAGCCTCTGAAACCAATCGTTGGCCTCGGCAAATCCCAATCATACGAAGCATTTCATAATAAAACATCTGAATAGCCAGCCTCAAGTCCATGACTGAACTAGTCAACCTCCGCAGCCCTCAATTTTGGCTTGCCAGTTGGCATCCAACGCTTGATGCATTAGTCCAAGGAATTCCTGCTTTTTCCGAACGCATGCTCTCGTGCAAGCAAAAGTTCATTGTGTCAACTCTCGACCTTTTCTGCATTTCCTATCACGCTCTGAGTCTTATGCAATGATCGTCCAACTCCAGGTCAAGGCCAAACACATGGGCTTCCTAACGGGCAAAGTGATGGAAACAAAACCTGACTTTTTGGAAACCTTTTCGACTATGCAGACTCTTCCCCTCTAATCCGGATGACAATATGCTAGTAGCTTTCTGTCACTGATAGCTCACTAATCCCGTTACTACCTACCCGGTACTACCACTCCCTCCGGTCTTCACGCTTCCCCGCGACATGTCCATACTGTGTTCAGATGAAGTGTTCATGCCCTTCCTGAAGACAAACATTGTCGCCACCAAAGCGACGGCCTCAGAGTCCTTCTTGCCTCCACAACATCGGAGCACTTCCATCCTGCCACATGACCCACAGTCAGAGTCTGCACGCGAATTCCGGACGGAATGATTCGGAGGAATCCAAGGCCCAATTGAACACACTGCAAACCGGACAGTGGCACTTCACCATATATATATATACACTTGAGGCCAAGGGGGGGCGAAAGCTAGCGCTCCAGAATGGGAAAGTGGAGGGCAGCGAGGTAGGAAAAAACACGGCGCTCTTTTTGGAGGCAGGGGTGAAGAGTCCTTTATATGTGGCTCTTTGCCCGGATCCTCCTGCGAGAGAAGAGAGAGAAGAGAGACGGAAAGACGAGAGACAGAGAGGAGAGAGAGAGAGAGAGGAGAGAGAGATGAGAGAGATAAGAAAGAGATGAGAGAGATGAGAGAGATGAGAGAGACAGTGAGACAGTGAGACAGTGAGAGTGAGAGTGAGCGAGTGCGGCCGCAAGATACGCAACGCTAACCGCATGCCAAAGAGCGACGACAGGACGGAGTCGAACTTGCGATGCGAAGAGGGAGGAGGGAGGAGGGAGGGAGGGAAGATGGGAGGAAGACAAGGAGGAGGAGAGGGGGGGAGGTGGGGAGAGGGGAGGTGGGGGAGAGGGGAGGGGGGGAGGGGGGAGGGGGGGGGGTCTTCGACCTGAATAATCAGGGGTTAGGATTTGCACCCGGTCGAAAGAAACCTTGCTATCGCAAGAGTAACTCCAGCTAGCTTCGCTAGCTTTCGTGACATAATATACATCCAACTTCTACAAAACATCCATAACGTTATTGCAAACAACTGCAGGAACGCCTAATTCACAAAGCACAATTGTGCAAATTTAGCAAACCAGCGCAAACATGCGTAAACCAGCTGGACAGGCGCAAGCACCGGAGGATTTCGGTTCAACTCCTTGCGCACAAGAGCAAGGATGGGTTCGCCAAGTGCTCAGCAACTTTGGTCATGCAGTGTGGAACCACAAAAGCAGTTCCACGAATCCAGGAACATCAAAAACCAACCATCCACCTTTACACATTCTCTCACCAAAGCATTATTTACAGTACACTAGAACACATCTCCCGCTTTCGTCTTTGCGACCGCCTTGCTCTGTGACAATACATTCTGCCACCCTCTCTGTACCAATTGTGCCTGCAACATCCTCTCTGCGCCTCCCAGACCGTTGACGCCTTGAAGTCTTGAAGGGGAGGCATCGCTTTCTTGTAATGGCAGCATTCAACCAAGCAAGTGCATCATATATGTGCACAAGTACCTAAAGGAAACTATGCCCTTCATGCTCTGGTAGTCTTCGCTTTGGGAGAATGGATTCCAAATTCTCTAGATTGGAGCCTCATCTTCTGCTCTAGAGTTGGCTCTAGAGTTGCTCATATGACTCATAATACATATGTTTCACACGCATTGCCAGTAGCACCTTCCTTGGCTCAGAAAACAACTGGGAGGCACTCTTCTTCTGCAACGAAAGCGCTAACTTCCCTGTTGTGAGAGAGACCGATGCTTGTTTCATTATTTCCGTTTGTTTCCTTTCTCTCTACTGAAGGGGACAGCTGAGCACTGGGGTTACGTGAAGGCTTCTCTGGCTTCAACAAGATTTGTTTCACTCGGTGTCGTACTTTAATCCTTTGTTTCGTCGGTTTCCATCTATTCCCTACCAGTGCCAGCTTTGTTGATCTTTGGCTACGTAAGACTCAAGTTCAAGCTCAGCACGGCAGTAACCACTCAATGAAATGTATTGCAAATATCCACCAAGGACTAAGGATATGTATATATCCATGGCTTAGCATGCATACTGCATACTTCCCAAAAGTCCGAGCGCCTTGCGGTTTCTGTGGCGTGTGGCTTTCTGCGCATTCGTGTTGGGCTAGCCTCGGGCGACCTTGCTTATGTCTAGTCTTTGTTGCCTTGGCAGTGCACCTTTGCATTCTGCGGCGCTGGTAGCTGGTACTGAACCGTACCACCTCAAGGTCTGTAAGTGATTGAACATATGCTGGAACTGCCAAGACTTGATGGCACTTTGTGCAAAGTTGTTGCTGTCACAGTGTAAGTGTCCAAAGCGCTAAAAAAACGGCGTACCCCAGCAGCACAAAAGGACTTTGCTTTTCGCGCATGTCGTGAGTAAAGCTTGACCTCACCTATCTGAAGGACACACAAAGGAGAATGTTATGTTGAACATGAAACATGTGGAGAACGGCTCCTCTGATTATTGTGATGACAATGAACACAAATAAATATGTACTTTACTAAAACACACATGCCAGTGAGACCAACAAAACACAGAAACCAATATATTCAATATATAATTGCGAACCTCGGCCTCTTCTGTACACACGGATAACAGGTTCTTGATGGCTTTTGTGTTTCTTATTAGCCAAAGCAATCAAAGCAAGCAGCAGTGAACAAATTTGTGAATTGACTGCTCTTGCGCTGTCTCCATCACGGATTAAGCCCAACTAAGCCAACAACTTACAATGAAGTCACCGCTGTGAAGTCTCCACCTTCCAGGTGTGTGGCGACTCTGCCAGGCTCTGCAGGAACTACATAAACAAATGCCTAAATGCACATCTGCAATGTGTCCTGGGCAAAGTACTACATCCTCTGATTTTCCGTGCCAGGGGTTGTTAGTATCTACAATTACTTTTACTGCTTGCTCTGTCTCTCTCTCTCTCTCGATATATATATATATGTAAATTATATGTATATGTTTTTCTTGTATAATTACTACTTACAATTATATATATAGTGGTCTTAACAACACTTGCGTGAACCTATATGGCACAGAAGCCTGCAACATGGCCATGAACGTGAGCACCGCAGTCATACCAAAGCGTCTACTAGCTACACGTTGCAAGTCTCAAGTTCGGAACAATAAGATCAGGCTCTGACGGAACAGACATGCTGGACAAGTTCAGCATTGGCCTGAAATAACCCAAGCAACCCAATATTCTAATCGCAAATCAACAGTCCAAATTCTTTTGGAAGACTTCCAACGCTCTCTATCACCACCTTTACATTGTGCCCGTTCCCAGAAAACCAAAAGGCGGAGCGGATGTTTGTGAATTGAAGGAGTATCAATAAGGGAGGCACGAATGTTCCTTGCCCTGCCAGGAACCTTCCTCAACAACTAGAAGTGTATTGCCACCTGGCGCCCATCGATCACAAAGCAAGAAATGCAAAACAAAGCCCTGAGCAATGAGCTTGACATGTCTTGATCTCAAAAGTGCCTTCCTCTGCAACATGTAAACCTTTTGGACGACCATTGGGCAACACCAAAGGCATCCTTGCAGCTCACCAGCTTCACTTTCTAAGCAGCAAAACATCTTACAGTACAAAGCACTATCAGTTCAATCAACTTCTGGATCTGACACGGCTTTGTATGGTTACCCGTATAGTCTATCACTTCTGCAAAACCCTGAGGGCAAAGCTTCAGCAGCCTTCTCTTGCTCAGTAGCCTTTGCAACTCATTGCGCAATTCCAACAATGCAGTCTATGCCGCAGTGCCACTTTCTGTCTGGGCAATGCGCTCGCAAGGATCGTTCATTGTACTCTGGGTGGCAATGGGTGTAGAAAAGCCTGGCTGCCTTGGACGTTTCAGTGTGCATGTCAAAAAGTGTCATCCACTAACTTGTGGCCCAGAGCGGGGTGGCGAAAGCTAGGCAAAGAAACAACGCTGGGGCTCTTTGGCAGGAAAGCCTGGCCGGGAATCGCAACATGCCATGGCCAAGGGAAAAGGAGAGTGCCAACAGCGCCCCCCAAATACGACCCCAACACAGCCAACACATGGCAACACACAACCACCCCAGCAACGGCAGCAGCAGCAGCAGCTACCAAGCAGCAGCAGCAGCATCATCAGCAGCAGCCACCAAGCAGCAGCAGCTACCAAGCAGCAGCAGCAGCAGCAGCTACCAAGCAGCAGCAGCAGCAGCAGCCGCAGCCACCAAGCAGCAGCAGCAGCAGCAGCTACCAAGCAGCAGCAGGAGCTACCAAGCAGCAGCAGCAGCAGCAGCAGCTACCAAGCAGCAGCAGCAGAAGCAGCAGCAGCAGAAGCAGCTACCAAGCAGCAGCAGCATCAACAGCAGCTAGCAAGCAGCAGCAGCAGCACCTGCAGCAGCTACCAAGCAGCAGCAGCAACAGCTACCAAGCAGCAGCAGCAGCAGCAAGCAGCCAGCAGCAAGCAGCAGGTACCCGGCAGCAGCAGCAGGTATAGTACCAAGCAGAAGCACCAGCAGCAGCAGCAGCAGCAGCAGGAGCTACCAAGCAGCAGCAGCAGCTACCAAGCAGCAGCAGCAGCAACAGCAGCTACCAAGCAGCAGCAGCAGCAGCAGCAGCAGCTACCAAGCAGCAGCAGCAGCAGCAGCTACCAAGCAGCAGTAGCAGCAGCAGCAGCTACCAAGCAGCAGCAGCTACCAAGCAGCAGCAGCAGCTACCAAGCAGCAGCAGCAGCAGCACCAGCAGCAGCAGCAGCCACCAAGCAGCACCACCAGCTACCAAGCAGCAGCAGCAGCAGCAGCAGCTACCAAGCAGCAGCAGGAGCAGCTACCAAGCAGCAGCACGAGCAGCTACCAAGCAGCCGCAGCAGCTACCAAGCAGCAGCAGCAGCAGCAGGAGCAGCAGGAGCAGCTACCAAGCAGCTGCAGCAGCAGCAGCAGCAGCAGCCAGCAGCAAGCAGCAGCAAGCAGCCAGCAGCAAGCAGCAGCAAGCAGCCAGCAGCAGCAGCAGGCAGCAAGCAGCAGCAGCAAGCAGCAAGCAGCCAGCAGCAGCAAGCAGCAGCAGCAGGTACAGTACCAAGCAAAAGCAGCAGCAGCAGCAGCTACCAAGCAGCAGCAGCAGCAGCAGCAGCAGCTGCTACCAAGCAGCAGCAGCAAAAGCAGCAGCTGCAGAAGCAGCAGCTACCAAGCAGCAGCTACCAAGCACCAGCAGCAGCAGGAGCAACTACCAAGCAGCAGCAGCAGCAGCAGCAGCCACCAAGCAGCAGCAGCCACCAAGCAGCAGCAGCAGCAGCAGCAGCAGCAGCCGCCAAGCAGCAGCAGCAGCCACCGAGCAGTAGCAGCAGCGGCAGCAGCTACAGCAGCAGCAGGAGCAGCTACCAAGCAGCAGCAGGAGCAGCTACCAAGCAGCAGCAGCAGCCACAGCAGTAGCAGCAGCAGCAGCAGCAGCGGCAGCAGCTACAGCAGCAGCAGCTACCAAGCAGCAGCAGGAGCAGCTACCTAGCAGCAGCTACCAAGCAGCCAGCAGCAAGCAGCCAGCAGCAGCAGCCAGCAGCCAGCAGCCAGCAGCCAGCAGCAGCCAGCAGCAGGTACAGTACCAAGCAGAAGCAGCAGGTACAGTACCGCAGAAGCAGCAGGTACAGTACCAAGCAGAAGCAGCAGGTACAGTACCAAGCAGAAGCAGCAGGTACAGTACCAAGCAGAAGCAGCAGGTACAGTACCAAGCAGCAGCAGCAGGTACAGTACCAAGCAGCAGCAGCAGGTACAGTACCAAGCAGCAGCAGCAGCAGCCACCAAGCAGCCACCAAGCAGCAGCCACCAAGCAGCAGCAGCCACCAAGCAGCAGCAGCAGCCACCAAGCAGCAGCAGCAGCAGCAGCCACCAAGCAGTAGCAGCAGCAGCAGCAGCGGCAGCAGCTACAGCAGCAGCAGCTACCAAGCAGCAGCTGCCAAGCAGCAGCAGCAGCCACCAAGCAGTAGCAGCAGCAGCAGCGGCAGCAGCTACAGCAGCAGCAGCAGCAGCTACCAAGCAGCAGCAGGAGCAGCTACCAAGCAGCAGCTACCAAGCAGCAAGCAGGCAGCAGCAAGCAGCCAGCAGCAGCTAGCAGCCAGCAGCAAGCAGCAGCAAGCAGCCAGCAGCAGCCAGCAGCAGCAGCAGCAGCCAGCAGCCAGCAGCCAGCAGCAGCAGCAGCAGGTACAGTACGAAGCAGAAGCAGCAGACACAGTACCAAGCAGAAGCAGCAGGTACAGTACCAAGCAGAAGCAGCAGGTACAGTACCAAGCAGAAGCAGCAGGTACAGTACCAAGCAGAAGCAGCAGCAGCAGCAAGCAGCAGCAGCTACCAAGCAGCAGCCAGCAGCAAGCAGCCAGCAGCAGCAGCAGCAGCTACCAAGCAGCAGCCAGCAGCAAGCAGGCAGCAGCAGCAAGCAGCCAGCAGCAAGCAAGCCGCAGCAGCAGGCAGCCAGCAGCAAGCAAGCAGCAGCAGGCAGCTAGCAGCAACCAAGCTACCAAGCTACCAAGCAGCAGCAGAAACGAAGCTACCAAGCAGCAACAGCTACCAAGCTACCAAGCAGCAGCAACTACCAAGCTACCAAGCAGCAGCAGCTACCAAGCAGAAGCAGCAGCTACCAAGCAGCAGCAGCAGCAGCAGCAGCAGGAGCAACTACCAAGCAGCAGCAGCAGCAGCAGCAGGAGCAGCAGCAGCAGCAAACCACCAAGCAGCAGCAGTAGTAGCAAACCACCAAGCAACAGCAGCAAAAGAGCAGCAACTAAGAAACATACAAACAGGAGCAGCAGCAGCAGCGACAAAGAACAGCAACAGCACGTTGGGAACTGAGAACCGGTCCGGGGGTGAAGGGTGGAGTTCAACCCGCGCGGGGGGAAGGGGAGGAGGAGAGGGGAGGCGAGGAGAGGGGAGGGGAGGGGGGGGCGGGTCTAACCCTGATATATCAGGCGTTAGCACTCAGGTCCTGGGTTCCCACCCTCCTTGCTAAAGCAAGACAGACTCCAGCTAGCTACAGCTAGCTTTCGTGACATGCAACTCAAAAAGCTTGGCTGCTTGCAACTGCGACGGTAGGAGGAAGAATACTGCTGGTCCTTAGACTACATTCAAAGCTCCGAGCCTTTGCCAGTTGCAAAAATCCAGGAGGTGCCGGAGAACATGCGAATACGTTTGAGTGAGTGACAGCTCTAAAGCCTCTAAAGCTGAGCCAAGAAACGTTTTGGCGTCCGCTTCTTCAAATTCGATATCGCCGACATCATCAGCATCTGTTCATCCTGGTTGGAAGGAAACTATGATCTTTCACACACACAGTCACACACACACACACACGTCTCACCAAACAAGATGCATTCTTGCAGTTACTCAAACTGCATGTTCCTTTGAAGTCCCTACCTCGGGTGGCAGGACCAGTGACAAAATGCCGTCCATAAGACCAGGCCGCTCTTTCACATGCACAGACCTCCCATATGAAACACCAGCTCCAGAAATCTGAGCAGAAACTTGTGATTGCCCATTCAAACTTTAAAGTTTTCTCTTTGCATCGCATTGTCTAGTGCCATCCACCCACATCTTCAGTCGGTTAAAAGCATCAAACAAACATCTGTACATGTCTCGCGAAGCACAAGCTGGAACAGACTACAGTAAAAACAACTTCAGATCCACGGCTCGGACATGTTTCAAAGAATCTTGCCAACTACAAATTCAGTGGGCTAGAAAATCACATCAAATCACATAAAAAGGGGAAACATGGGAAAACTGGGAGCAACAAAACATGAGGCACAGCAAGGAGCTGTCGAAAGGCTTTCGGTGACGCATTCAGCAATTCGACGGATCTACTTTAAAAAAGACCGGATAACCCCACATGTTAGCTTGTAAGAACTATCAACGAGAAGTAGAGATTGATAAGGAACGAGGACGGAAAGATACTGGACGATGTGACTGAGATGAGCAGTGTGTGACGAGTGGTGTGTGATGAGCGGTGTGTGATGAGTGGAGTAAGATGAGTGGTGTGTAATGAGTGATGTGTGTGTGTGTTGGCGGTGTGTGATGAGTGGTGTAAAATGAGTGGCTTGAGATGAGTGGTGTGTGATGGGTGGTGTGTGATGAGTGGTGTGTGCTGAGTGGTGTAAGATGAGTGGTGTGTGATGAGTGGTGTAGGATGAGGTGGTGTGAGAAGAGTGGTGTGAGACGAGTATGCTGAGTGGTGTAAACTGAGTGGTGTGAGATGAGTAGTGTAAGATGAGTGGTGTGAGATGAGTGATGTGAGATGAGTGGTGTGTACTGCGCCTGCCACTCCAGGTTCACCAAGTGCTGCGCCTGCCACGAAATCTACACGGCAGGTGGTGTAAGATAGGTGGTGTGAGTTGAGTGGTGTAAGATGAGTGGTGTAAGATGGGTGGTGTGAGATAGGTGGTGTAAGATAGGTTGTGTG